CGAGCCGAGTGGGCGGGGGGGTCGGCGTGGAGCGCGTGGCTCTAACGAACGTAATTTCATATTCCGTAGCGCGTGGGCTGAGAGAGGTTTTAATTAAATTCATCATTGCAACAGGTTGGCTTCTCTACGCGCAAGCACAATGTACTGTTTTCAGTTGCGAGCTATTTCCGTCCACAGGTAATTGATCTGTCAGGTCAATTATCAGCGATCATAGTGTTTTGTTTTAAACAGTTGAGGTGTAGCAGGAAGCGCACTGTGTCAGTGATGCCGAGCCCTCGGTAAGCCGGTGGCTCTCGGCAACTCCACGCGCCTCTCGCATCGAGGACCGCCGTCGAACAGAGACCGTCGCAGCATCGCGCGCTTTCCGACGACCAGACGATTCGTAATGAAGGTTTTTTTTTATTTTGTGGGGGGGAGGGGGAAGGGTCAGATCGCGTGAATGTAAATGTGTCGTTAACTCACCACCACCGCCACCACCCGACACAGCCATTTAGTGGCGTTTGTCACTAAACAAAACGTGCCAATCAGTTATTACAGAACTTTTGCACACCGGTGTGTTGGAGAGTGAAGCCACGACGTTTAGAATTTGAGTACGACGTTTCGTTCGTCATTACAACCAGCTTCATCAGGCGATTTGCCAGAATTGTGAAAACGAGCAGAGTCTTCATGCTGCTGCCCACTATGAAAGCGCCTCGTGTCTGCGCCTTATCATCCACACGACTGCGGAGAGCCAGAAGCCAAATGATTTCCTGCTCGGAGGAGTATTGAGACTGTGCTCATTACGCACAAAGCACTTGCCACAAATTAACCACAATACATCGCTGATCTCGTCAAGGAACATAAAACATCATGCGAACATCCTCGCAGCAGCGGCTTTTGGCTCAACATCGAACAAAAGATGGTCACTGCATCGCGCACTTTCAGATGCGTTTCTACGACCGTCTGAAACGCTCTTCCTTCCGATATTAGGATGCACTTTTAAATCTAGATTGAAAAACTAATTTCTTTCGAATTGCTTTGTGTTTAGTTTGTCGTCCTTCCCACGCACCTCCAATTAGCACACTTGGCTATGTACGGTGCGAAAGAAGTTCAACGTACATATGTACAGGGAACAATCACGGAGTGCGACGCTCCGATTCCAAACCAACGATTGTCGATGCACATCACACGGGGATAGAGCAGCTTTGGTGTGACAGTTCATGGCCCATGGTGCTGATTCATTCAGGTTGATAAATGACGAGGTAACAATCGTGGAAATGAACGCAGCTCACGACAGGCAGCAGCAGCGCTGATGAAGACGAGAGTGGCCTCATCCACAACTCCTGACACTTCTGTTTCAAGGTGACGACGTTAATTTCGAAACAGTACCGAACTGGCGTGAGATGCGACTCGGATACGTGTGATCGGCGCATCCCGCTTTGAACCACGCACACTCGATTAGACGTTTGAACCGAGGAGACAAGAACCGGTTGTGTCGTGTAAGGGAGCGGAGCTTCAAGATGTTATCCAACCTTTGGAAGAGATTGGAGATCCAGATGATCCGAAAGAAGACGATCTGATTTCTGGGCAAATTCTTTCCACGTGCATTAGAAGTGAACACCCAGTGGCTGGGTCTCGGCTTATGATGATGGCGCTGCTGCGGTCGTCCAATGGAGAAATGTGGCCTCCAGAAGCCTCGGGACAAGACGATACAAAGACAAAGGGCCCCCCTTTGTCCCTTTTGGCAGTGTTAAGTGTTGTTAGCGAGCACCTATTAATCCTTTCCCATTCCGAGATGACTGCAAGTTCCATGGTGTGGTATCTCGTTCACCACTGAATCTCGGAACACGCAAGTGGCTCCGCGTTCATTTAATTTAGAGTCGTAGCACCGCTGTTTTAATGGCATCGTGCTCACCGCATGGAACCGTAGCGACACGACCACAGCACTCTACGATAGCTGGCAGCGAAACTGTGCCACACGCCCTCCCGCGTGGCCTTTTGCGATGACGTACACGTACATACACGTATGTTATTGGAACGCAATCAGAAGAAAAACCGATGACATTACACGTACGTCGTCTGAATGGGGAAAGGTTTAAGGATGGCATGAAGTCGGAGTGCGTGGTGTGACGGCATCACTTAAAAAACTAAACAATTTTCCTTTTACCAGGTAAGGGCCAGTGAGCTATATAGCTCTTTTTCAGAAGCGTGTATCATCACATGGAAATGTATAGCAGCCAAATACTCTAAACGCACGTTGGGTCTAAATGTGGAAAGGAAAACCAGAGGACCCGGAGAAAAATCCACGTGACCACGGGGAGGACACGCAAACTCCAAATATACAGCAGGCGTCAGAGTCGGTATTGAACTCACGACCTCCTGTATACGAGGCGAGGTAGTTGACATCTCGCCACCATGGCGTCTTCGAACGCAGGACCCTGTTATGACTCGGCGTGGATAAATAAGTAAACTATTATTGTTTATTTCTTTATGAGCCATGGCCGGTGCCACCGGTCGATCGCGGGCATTGGCGTTCCCTAAACCGGGAGGTGAAGGTGGCTCCCAGGAGAAGCGCAGCGACACCTCCCGCGCCGCAGGGGTCGTGGGGTTGCGGGGTCACGGGGTCACGGGGTCACCACCTCCCCCCTCCTCACCCCCCCGCACCCACGGCGCCACGGCGGGCGGGGAAATCCTCACGCTGCGTGGCCCTCGGTCGCAGTTTAGAAATTAGTCGCAGGGAGCATGTTATTATTTATTTGTTAAAAATGTTATTTTATTTTTTGAAGAGGTAAGGCCCCCGCTGAGCTGCGTGGCTCTTTTTCAGAAGCGACCTGGCCACGAATGATAGCTCAATGATGTGGCTTATAATCGGTCTGTCGAAATTTATAGTAGCCAAATACCCTAAACGCCTGACGTTGATTCTAAATGTGGGGGGGGGGGACCGGAGGACCTGCAGAAAAATCCACGCGACCATGGAGGGAACATGCAAACTCAAATGTACAGCAGGCGTCAGGGTCGGGATCGAACCCACGACCTCCTGCATGCCAGGTGAGGGAGTTAAAGTGGTAAGAAAAGTCCCCATCTCCATTGAGGCGAACCAGATAGCAAATTCCTTTGAGCTCTGATATTGGCAAGTGAAGGGCATTAATGAATCAATGTTGGTTTCAGAATTATTTTAATAAAGGTGGCTTAGAGAAGGTTCAATTGATTGTGTTGGACGTGTTTGCAGCACGAATTTAAAAAAAAACCCTTCAAATTGGCTTGAGCGAAATCGGTGTTCAGTGATCGTATCATAAATTCTTCATCCACGGAACGTCGACTTCAAAAATGCAAATCATAATTCGACCCAGGTGCGGGATTAATGAATATGCCTTTTGCAGAAGATAAAAGGCGCCGCATCGCTAATGATTTTCTCTCCCCGCTTTATGTTTTTTTAATTCCGTCTGTACGATCGCGGAACTCCGTCGCGTTCCGACCGGCGCGTGTCTCCCCCACCCCCCCCCCCCCCCCCCCAGCTGAGTAAATAGGCGCAGTTCATTAGGCGCTAATAGGCCGCAGATGGGGCTGTCGGAGGGACGTCGCGAGCCGGGGCCCCCACGCTCGCTCCCAGGGGGTTCGCTCAGGCCATGTAGGGGAGCAGCATCTGGGCCCTGCGCGCGTGGGCCCGCCCGTGCGAGCCGTTACCGCCCGCTCTTAATGAGCAGCTGCGCCGCCTGCATCGGTTCGGTATCACCGTGCCCTCCCCCGCCCCCCCGACTCTCCACACCGCTTCCCGGGGGGACGCGTGATTGATGAAGCGCGGGGTGCCATCGCTGCCCAGCGCGAGCGGGTGACGGCTTCTGTGGGAGTCACGCGCGCACGCGGCTGGGGGGGGGGGGGGTTCAAGGGGCTGTCGCCGCCCGTGTTTGATGTTTTCATTGAACGTAAACACAAAACAATCCCCCTCGATAACGCCGTGGCCTTAAAAGGAAAATTGCGTGGTTGGTCGCGGTTTTGGGCATGTGGAGGAGGGCTGCTCACGAAGGGCCATGTCCCAAAACGTCGCCTATTTAGGTTTTTATTTTGAGGTCGCAGGGCTATTGATGAACGTTGTTTAAATGTATATTTGCACGCAGGCATCACTGCCAAAGCAGCAGTATCACCAAGTAATTCGCTTTCATTATGCGTTGCTCTAACCCTACTCTAACTTGACTGAAATCTTTTCGTGACTGCAGGAATTAATATTCAAACAATTATCTTTGAACCAATCTACATGACTTTACCGAAAGACCCAGATAATACCTACTCTAACTCTTACCATAAGCCTACCCATACCGAACTCTTCCCAACCCTACCCAACCCTACCTTAACCCTACCTAACGACAACCTTACACTCACTCTCACCTCCGATTAGCACGGTTGCCTACGTACGGTGCGAAAGGAGTTCAGCATACGCACGCACACACGTTGTAGTTTATTTCAAACGCGCCTTCCAGTTCCATCACTTCGCCTGCACACGGATGAGTCTCGCTCCACTGGACGTGGCAAAACGCGGTTTCCCTGTGAGCACGCGGGGCGATGTGGCCTGGCCCTGCACGAAGTGGCCCGGCCTGCACGGATGCAAATGTGAGGGTTTGAAAGCCCACTGACATCGACTGACGCATGTTATATTCAATGCAAGCGAGGCCTCGTTGCGCTTGCTTCTTACAAGACCTGGGGGAGCAAAACCATGGAGTTAGGGTTGAAGTATTCATTTATTATGCGTGTGTGTAATTTAACAGTGTGGGGAGCGATAGTGTAGCGGTTAGCGCACTGCGCTATGAACCTGGCGACCCGGGTTCGATTCCGGCTCACTGCCAACACCCAGTGACGATTATCTGGAACCGGTCCTAGGCCTCCCCTAGGTCGACTCAGCCTCAAATGAGTACCCGGTGCAGTGTGTAAACATCGCCACTGGGGAGACAAAGGCGGTCGGGCGTGGTGCTAGCCACCCACCACGTCGTGTACCGTTCCAGCCTTATAGGTGCTCGCTAACAGCACTCGCCCCTACAGTCTGTTAAGGCTCTACGGGGAATCTTTGTCTTTGTATGTGTAATGTAACAATGTAGGTTATTTCCGAATACTGTTGTGAGACTTTTGACACGACATTTCGTGGACACAGCCCGAGTGTGAGTGACCTACAGCTGCCCTGTTTTACACGAATGAATGTGCTGCTCGGTCTAATCGCTGAATAGATTTAGCCTCGAGTCAGGATTCACAAAGTCGAAACAACTTTGACAAAGTTAAGCCTGCAGTTGACAGAGGATGTGTGTGCTGTGTGTGTGGTCCCTTGAGCAAGACGCCGTTTGTTAAAGCGGTGACTTTCTCCGACGCGATACGCGAAGTTGTAGGTCATGAGATGAGATACACAATTAGACCGCCGAGATGAGATACACAATTAGACCGCCGAGATGAGATACACAATTAGACCGCTGAGATGAGATACACAATTAGACTGGAGATGAGATACACAATTAAACTGGAGATGAGATACACAATTAGACCGCCGAGATGAGATACACAATTAGACCACTGAGATGAGGTACACAATTAGACTGGAGATGAGATACACAATTAGATTGGAGATGAGATACACAATTAGACTGGAGATGAGATACACAATTAGACTGGAGATGAGATACACAATTAGACTGGAGATGAGATACACAATTAGACTGGAGATGAGATACACAATTAGACTGGAGATGAGATACACAATTAGACTGGAGATGAGATACACAATTAGACCGCTGAGATGAGATACACAATTAGACTGGAGATGAGATACACAATTAGACCACTGAGATGAGATACACAATTAGACTGGAGATGAGATACACAATTAGACTGGAGATGAGATGCACAATTAGACTGGAGATGAGATACACAATTAGACCACTGAGATGAGATACACAATTAGACTGGAGATGAGATACACAATTAGACTGGAGATGAGATACACAATTAGACTGCGTGTGCACACAACAAAGGCTTGCCAGCACGAACCGGTTTGGTAGCCCGGGGTTAATGTTAAAATATTTACAGCCATGAAGGGGGCAGGCATAAAATGCATTTCTCAATCACACTTCGACCACTTGGCAATTGTGGGGGGGGGGGGGGGGCTGATTCTTGAGCTCGGCCGTAATTGTGCGGGTATCGACGTGCGGAGAGACGGAGATAGACGACGCCTCTCGCTTCCTCACACACCACTCAGCTCACACACACACACCACTCAGCTCACACACACCACTAACCTCACACATACACACCACTCAGCTCACACACACACACACCACTCAGCTCACACACACCACTAATCTCACACACACACACCACTCAGCTCACACACACACACACCACTAACCTCACACACACCACTCAGCTCACACACACCACTAACCCCACACACACACACACACCACTCAGCTCACACACCACTAACCCCACACACACCACTAACCTCACACACACCACTAACCTCACACACACACCACTCAGCTCACACACACACACACCACTAACCTCACACACACCACTCAGCTCACACACACCACTCAGCTCACACACACACCACTCACCTAACACACACCTCACACACACCACTCACCTCACACACACCACTCAGCTCACACACACACACCACTCACCTCACACACACACACTACTCACCTCACACACACCACTCACCTCACACACACCAACCTCACACACCACTCACCTCACAGACACACACCACTCACTTCACACACACAACACACCACTCATCAACAATACCAGCCGCTATTCAAAGCGATGGTGACGTCACCACAGTGATTGTGCCAGGCTAGGTGCACTTTGAGGCCATGTAAAGTGTCAAAGGTTCGCTTGCGGGAGGTCACGGCACAGACCCAGGTGCCATGGGTTGACTGAGGCGACTGGTAAGGTGACTGTGCTCCCCACTGTGCCAGTGGTTTAGTCACCCGGCGCTCCGCTCGTTGTTGTGAGCGTCGCTCCTCTGCCCTCCGCTGTTGTTGGAGGGCGACTTCCTAACACTGCCAAGTAGCAGCGGCGTCCTTCACGAGCCTCCTCCTGCACAGAGGCCGAACTTGACACCGCTGGTACCAGGCATTGGTGAACAAACATGCAAAGCTACGCACACACGCATGCACACGCACGCACACGCACGCACGCATGCACGCACACGCACACGCACGCACACATGCACACGCACGCACACACGCAACACACACGCACGCACACACATGCACACGCACACACGCAACACACACGCACGCACACACACACACACGCGCACACGCACACACGCGCACACACAGCAGCTGAGCCCCCTTCCATGTCACTTGGCCAGACTTTAATCCCTGGGATATCATTACACATGGGATAATTAACTGCAAATGCAATATATCATGGAACCAAATAAATGAACTAATATATCGTCAGTTGCCATGAGTCATCATCGTCGACATCAGCATTATCCTCACGGCGAGATGTTAACTTCCTCACCTTGTATACAGGAGGTCGTGGAATTGATCCCGACCCTGACGATGCCCGTGTATTTGGAGTTTGCAGTGTCTCTCTCCACCTTTTAGAATCGACATCGCCACGTGTTTAGGGTATTCGGCTTCTATAAATGTCCACGTGATAAGCTGCTTCGTTGAGCTCTCATTTGTGGTGACCAGGTCCCTAATGAAAAATAGCTAAACAGCTCAGTGGGCCTTACCTGGTAAAATAAATAATAGTTTAGTTTTCGTGCAATTCACCAAGGATGTCTTTCAACCATTTGGCCCATAAAGTGAATAAGCTAGACAATTCACCTTTCAATATCTGCCCCTAGTAACATATTAAAGTGTTTTTTTTGTACACGTCCCATCAGCATCGGTTCAACACGAGCAAACTCTGGACCAGTTTCGGCGCGCAGTGTCTCATCAGCGGCGTTGGGCTCGCCTGGGCCGATGCTGACAGGCAAGTTATCTTAGATATGGAAGCAGCACAGTTGATTGTTAAGCATGTAAATAACGAGAAAGGATTCTGCAATACAATCATTGCATCAATTTGTAATTATGTATCACCAGGTGGAAACCTCTGCGGAAATGACATTTATTTTGCATGAGAAAAAAAAGCCTCATCAAAGAAATGGAATTGTATAGCAGTTTTCATGAAAGGTTGAGCTGCAAATGAACGATCGCCGTTGAATAGAAAACACTGAGTGATTTGTCGCCGTGGTCTTGCTGAACGAATACATTACGAGGTCGCGCTCATCACACACGCACACAGCGCTAGCCACGAATGAAGCCAAGGAGCACAAACCACCATCACGTGCACTCGGTCATCCTCGCAGCGGATTTCGGCAAACCATCGAACAAAGACGATCACTGCCCCGCGCGCATAGAGCACATTGCTGCCATACCCAAGAATAGACTCATTATATTCTGGCAGGAAGTAATTAACAACTGCAATAACAAGCGAGGTTAGTGTGATTGCATTCACAGCTCAGGATTCCACGTGGTCATTCTGCAATCCCTATTCTACTGAATAGCCGACCGGCCCACAGTGTCGGAGTGCTCACCGTTGTTTCAGCTTACGCGCAGTCAACGGTTCAACTCGCGGACACGCGGAGAGTCCCGTCGGACAACGCCACACTTCTTAAGAGAACATTCGGACCGCGTCCCATCAACGCATACAGCAGCGGCTTTTGGCTTTGAGATGCGCTTCTGCGGCCATCGAGACGAATCTTTCTTTCGATATTAAGAAGCCACCGGAGCTGTGCACTTTAAAATCTAAATCAAAAAACCCATTTCTTTAGAACTGCTTTTTTGTGTTTGGTTTGTTGTCCTTCCCCCGCACCTCCGATCACAAAGGTTGGCACCGCACATCGGAAAGCACGCGATGCGCTCAACGTCTCTGTTCGATGGTTTGCCAAAAGCCGCTGCGAGAATGACCGGAGTTTGCGTGATGGTTTAAGCTCCTTGACGAGATCGGCAAGGTATTGTGGGTCATTTGTGGCTCAGCACTTTGTGTGTAACGGGTGCAACCTTACAATGCATTCAATTCGGCAAGATCACGGCCACAAACCACTCGGCGTCTTCTATTTAACGCGCAATTTAAAGGCGTCGATGCCTTGTGAATCGACAGCGTACTGTTTGTAAATCTCGGTGGAAACTCATCGGCTTCCAGACTGCAGCGGTTTCTGCTGAGCAACTCGGGACGGGGATCGTGATGAGCACGAATGGGACGAGTGTCATCACGGAATATGTCAGCGAGTAACTTTAACTGCGCAGATTCTCTCGCTCGCCGCACGGCTCTCCGACGCGCGCTCGGGTTGTTCGGCTCGACGTCCGACGTTTCGGTCCGCGCGCCGAACAACACACGAGGTTACTGCCTGAAAACACATCGGGGAACGTTGCTGAGAGCGAAAGACAGGACGTTATGTACCACCATAAGAGTCATAGATCATCAATTATACTTTCACGTCACCATAGCAACTTTATGTCACTGAACAATGAGGTTATCGTGCATGAGGGTGAAGCAGATGCATTATTAAGGAGTCGCGTAATTGGTTATATGAATAAATTATTTACCGAAGTTGAACGTTACCGCTGAACGGAGAAGCAGACATTTTCTATTCTCATGACAAATCGTTGCCTCGATAGAGAAATGTGAATTATTCCGCCAAACCGTCGGTTGGGAAAGAAGGTCGACTTGCGTACGGCGTAAGAGAGGTTCACGTGAATACCGACGCAACTCTTCAGGCTTGCTCGGGGGAACGTGCTGGCGTGTGGAGAGAGAGAGATCTATATGGGACCTGTACTCCAGCCATCGACACCTTTGCCGAGTATATTTCCGCCGTTGCCTTTGCAAGCTAACAGAGGTGTCAGAGGGTCGCCACGATGGCTAGGAGATGTTAACTCCCTCGCCTGGTGTACAGGAGGTCTTGGGTTCGATACCAACCCTGACGCCTGCTGCTGCTGCTGTGTATTTGGAGTTTGCATGTCTCTCTCCCTGTGGTCGCGTGGATTTTTCTCTGGAGTGCTCTGGATTTTCCCTCCATATTTACAATCAACATCACGCGTTTAGAGTGGTTACAATACATTTTTCCACGTGTTGAGCCACTTCATTGAGCTATAATTTGTGGCCAGATTGCTTCTGAAAAAGATCTACATAGCTCAGTGGATCTTACCTGGTAAAATAATAATATATAGTTCTGGTTTAGGGAATCAATCCATCCAAAGCAATTCCATCGGCTCATCATGCATGAACCACACATGTAATCGTCAATGCTTTCCGTATATCATTGTTACTATTACTGCGCTTGTTTTATCCAGGAAAGCCTCACTGTGAGCCTCATGACTCCTTTTCGAGGAGGTTCCTGCCAAGGTTTTGCAGTAAGGGAGGCCATGATTACTACGGGTAGACCAACCGAGTGATTTACTGTGTTTTTATTGATATTTTTTCACAAATTCGGATCGCGATGTCGGCTTCGCGACGACCTCCTCTCGCGAGTCACGTCACCGAATATTTAACGTCCGCTGTGAAGCATATGGCTCGCAGCGATGTTTTCCGCTCAATGCACTGGCAGCAACAACCAGGGCGGCCCGCTGGATCAGAACCGCGACTCTTCTGCGACAAGCGCGATACCGCTGGGCTCTCCTGCAAATGCTCACGC